CGATGCCCCAGTCCCACCACCGTCGGCAACGGGTTGCATACTGGAGGACGGAGGCCATCGCCGAGCTGCAAGAGGCCTCCGCCTGAGCCAGACGGGAGTTCACCCAGGCCCGGCGACGAGACGGGATGCCGTGAGGGAAAAGGAGGGCTATCTCCGAGCGAGAGAAGCCCTCAAGGCCGATCGAGGCGAAAAAGGAAGCCTGGGAGCAACTGGTGAGAGTCCGGCATAATCCCCTACTCTTCCCCGAGGGTAGGAGGTATCCATGAAGAATTCCCTCCTCGTAAAAAAAAGTTTTCCCAGACCACCGTACCAAGGGGAAGGAAGAACCTTGAAGAACTAACTCGGGGGGTCGGACTCGTTAGCTTGGGGAGGCAGCCGACCACAGTATGAAGTCCTCTTGGTAGATCCAGTGTGGTTTCCACACGGACGTCACTGGAGGGCAACATCCGGCGTAGCTGGTTCCGATCAGTGGTCCCTCGGTTCCGTTGCCGATGCCGGTGCCACTGGGTACTTGTGGCGTAGCGTGGCTTGTGGGGGAGGATAACTACTTGTTCCCTCCATTATTTCGCGGGCCGGCGCCTTTTGGCATTCAGAGGCTTTAAAGCCGGTCCGGTAGAGGGACTGGTAGTGCCCTCGGGGGCGGGCTCTTCAGGGGTGGAGGATGACGTTGTCATTCGGTGTGGATGTGTGTGTGATCGGGTGTTCGGACTCGTGAGCCAGGCGGTCCTGGCATCCGAACTAGGGGGAAGGAAGAACCCCGACTAAGAAACCCGGGCATTTGGGCTCGTCAGCCTTCGGGCGACCAAACCAGAGAGGAAACTCCGTAAAAAACCGGTCAGGCTCGTGAGTCTGGTTTCCCAGACCGCACCAAGGAGAAGGAAGAACCTCGAAGAACAAACCTGGGGGGGAGGGTGTCGGACTCGTTAGCCTAGGGAGGCGGCCGACCAAGGTACAAAGTCCTTGTCATCGTACTAGTGTGGCAGCTTGATCTTTCACGAGGGGACAACTAATGGGGCAACATCCGGCGGGGTCCTCCCTGTCTTGGGTCTCTGGTCCCATTACAGATACGGTGGCCCTGGCCGGCGGGGGAAGCGGGTGGTCGGTGGGTGGGGATGGGGCCGGGGTTGGGTCCCCCCCCAAGTCCCCAGTCCGCTGAACCTGCCGGCCTAAGAGGGCCCTGGCTAGGGGGCTCTGGGGGTGCCCTTGGGGTGAAGACCGCAGGATGAGGATGGCTTGGCCATCCAAGTGTGAAAGTAAGAGTGCAAGTGCCGTAGTCGATCCGGCTGCGGCTCAGCGTATGTTCCGCCGTGTAGATGAAATGTTCCCCGGCGGCGGGACGATTCCGGGAGGCTCCACCGACGGTTCCCGCTACTACGATGCCGCACAGGATGAAAAATAGGGATTCGTCCCGCAGCGGGCTGCGCTGGGTGGTGACTCGGGGCTGGAGGGGCGTCCGGGCTCGTGAGCCTGGCAGTCCAGGCATTCGGAACTAGGGGAAGGAAGAACCCCGAATAATAAACCCGGATGATGGTGTCCGTTAGTCTGGGAAACCAGAAACCCAACGAGGGGAAGGCAACCCAAAGCAAAAACCCGGGCGATCGAGCCTGTCAGTCTGGTGGTGCCACACATCCGAACAAAGGGAAGGAAGAACCCAATACAAAACTCGGATTCGTTAACCTAGTGAGGCAGCCGACCATATATGAAGTCCTTGGGGTTGATCCCGTGTGGTCTAGTTCCTCCACGCGGGCGTGATCCGGAGGCAAAACCCTAGGGAGCGTGTCTCGGCCTTCGGGGTCCTCGGACTTGGTGCTGGGGGGTGCCCTTGGGCGCTTGAGGGCGCTGGCCCGGTCTGCTAAGCATTGTGGTAAAAAATCGTCCACCCAAGCTGGTCGGGGCGGTGTCCCTTAACGCCCGGAACTTTAAAGCTCGTCCGGTGCTGTGGCGGGGGTGCGCGGGGGGGGGGCGGACTCCCTGAGGGAGGATGGCTTGACCATCCAAATGAATGTGAGTGTGATTGTTGCATGAGTAATTTCCGGAGGAGGGTCGGTGACAGGAATGTACCTTTGAGGAGACGGGCCGCGATGGCAGCCACCCTGGCCCGCGTCCAGAAGAGGTGCGAACTTTGAGTGAATTGGCCCTTCCGGAAAAGTGAGTGCTCCGGGTGCTGAAATGGGTGCCTGTCTGGGGTAACCCGGAAGGCGCCTACCGATATCCCGGTGAAGCCCTCTTTGATGCCGCCAGGGAGGCGGTAATCAACAACCAGCTAAGCTGCGGACCGACGTATGGCTCATGGGCGGGGAAGACGCAGCGCCCCTGCCCGCGATACCGCGTTGGACTGCGGCTAGGCAAGTATGCTCGAGGGCAGTGGTTGGAGCGCGGCGGTTGAATGTGGGTCAGGTGTAGTCGTGCCCCGGACAACTGCTGCGCAACACCTGGCGACCGACGGATGGTTGGCCCTCTCGATAGGGGCACCCTCGAATAGGGAACACTCCTGGTGCGCGGGGCCCGTGATGGTCGGCTGCTAGCGAGCAAGCGGGGAGCGAGCTCGCGCCGCCGTTAGGCGTGAGCGTACGTGCGCTGGGGGTCCTGCTTCGGGGCTGAGCCGCGAGGAGGGTAGACTTACGAGTCGGACACTAAGTGCTCGGTGGGGCATTCGTGATGTCAGATGCAATATATTGCGATGCTACAGCACATGCGTGAGATGGCGTAGGAGCTTTATGCCAATGACGACAATAAAGCGCATCGCAGGGTCCATAAAGGGGCCCACGCTATCCGATCAGCTGTCTTCCAGGCTGCAGCGTAGTTTTCCCGTGTTTCTTGCGCGAATGCCTTATCTTAGGTTATATTGTTCAGTGGATACTAAATTTTGTTACATTAACATTATAATTTCAGTGGATATTAAGTAACAGTTACGTTACATTAACATTTTTTTTTTGGTAACGCAGGGGAAATCCTTTATAGATACCCCTGACCTTTGGGGGGGCCGGGGGTTATGTCGGACTCTTACCGACTAAAACCCCTGCGGGATGTCTACCATTCGGACCGTTATGAGGGGAGTTAGGGGGACTGCTCCCGCATTCCCTCCCCAACACCCCGGCCCCAGGGCTCTCCGGGAGCCCCTCGCTTCGAGTACCGCACCCCGTCCCACCAAGGGAGTCCGGAGTGCAGTCCCCCGACCGAATCCCCGGTCGGGTTGGTCTTCTGGTTTTATCTTAGGGGAAGGGGATATCTACCGTCCCCCCGTACCCCCCATTACTCCCCCTTTAGAAGGGGGTAGTATAGGGGAGTGAAATCATCCCCAACTGGACTCCCATTTTTCCCTGACCCTACCGACACACGAGGAGGGCGGGCGGGCTCACTCACTCACCACCACCCGCTCCCCGGCGTATCCGGAGTCGGACCCGAGGCGGCCGAGAGGGTGGCCTCCAGTTGACCGGTGGCCGCTCCTCCTCGGCCGACTCTACCTCGGGCTCACTGCCGATCCCCCCCCCTCCCGGGAGCGTCGATCCCTGCGCCGCCTCCCGGGTTGACGCTCCCACTCGACGGCCTTCTTTTTGGACATCACGTCCTTGCAGGAGGCTGCCGCTGACCATGCCTCCTCGCTCCCGCACATGGCGTTCACCATGTGCGGGAGCGAGAGTCCCCCCTCACGGCATCCCACCGCCCTGGCCAGGACACGGCGCTCCTGGCTCCATGCCGGGCATGCAACCAGTGTGTGGTGCGCCGTGTCCTCCAGCACAGGGCAGTGGTGGCATCGGATGGTGGGCTCCTTCCTGATCTGGCGCAGGTACCTTCTGAAGCACCCATGCCCGGTCAGCACCAGATAGAAGGACGTTACGTTAACATTCTAATTTTTCACTCAACTATGTAACTGTTACATAATATTTATATTAGACTCATATTAGACTATAGATTGAGAATTACTATCAGACCAATTAAAATAACCACGATTTAGATTATCTAATTTACTCGATTGCAATTCTCAATACATAGTATAATACGGGCGCTATAATACCTTAAAAAAGATACGATACTGGGGCTTTTTACTCAAGCAGCGAGCTCTACGTCATCTCACGTATGCGCTGTAGCATCGCAATATATTGCATTTGACATCACTGCGGTGAGGTTGACTGCGACCGAGGAGGGAGGTTAGTCTCTCTATAGTTGGCGGCCAGCAGATGGTCAGGTCCCCTGTGAGAAATCACGGGGGGGAGGGGAGCGGGATAGCCCGGTGGAGGTCGGGTCCTGCTTCCCTAAGCCCCACCTCCGATACGAAGGGAGATGGGGAGGGAGGAAAGGGTTTAAGTGCCGTCCTACCTTCTTAAGACCAGCCGATCCCGTTTTGGATGGGCTGACAGTGGTGGTGACCGGGTTTGGCCTGGTCGAGCGTTGCGCCAGGTTGGCGCGGCGATAGGGACAGGCCTCCGGGTCTCAGAGATCGGGGATGGACGGAGAAGTACTGGGGCAACCCTTCCTCCGATACCCCCATACAGACTTCAAATAGGCACTTCGATGGGGTTTTAGCCGATAGGAGTCCGGCATAACCACTGGTCCCTTCCAGGGTAGGTGGTATCCATGATGGATTTCCCCACCGTTAACGAAAACTTCATAATTTTATAGTAAACATAACATTGTTTGAAAGATTTGCGTGTAGGAGATATTACATATATGTATACAAGGAAGATTTCATAGAACTCATATATCAATAAAAAAAAGCATCTATGCTTCTTTTCAATTTTGCTTCAATATTACATGTTTAGTTTATAATTATCCCCTACTTTATTAAATTTTATATCATTTGATGTGTAAAATTCAGAAGCAACTAGTTAAAGAATGATATATTGAATAACATGAAAATGACAGAATTATATATAAAAAACGATTATGAGAAATAATTTTAAGACAATTATTAATTAGGACAAATATAAAATTATGAAAGTATAAAATAATACATGATATAGTAGATATAAATTTAGTATTTTATTTTTAGTTCATGATACTTTATGATTAAAGTAAGTTGTAATAAAAATATTTATCCTCTCTAAAATGATTAATTCCAAATCTTTTAGTCTATGATGTTAATGAGACTTTGGCGATATTGAAATTAGTTCTCGAATAAGCAGCTTATTTCTAAGTGCGCATTTTGACAGTGACTATCTAATTTACAATATGGATAACTGGTCCCAGGAGATTCTCTGACATTTCTTTGCACACGCGTGCGTGCCATCGCTTTGAATACAAATATATAAATATCCATCGATATATATTTTATCGTCGTGAATAAATCAATTCGTAGTTCATCCGCTCATATGCAACCTATAACTTTCCTTTGCCCAGTATCCTCCAAGTCTGAAAAGCACAGTACCTTTTAAGTGAACAATGTCCAAAAGAGTAACATGTCAGAAGTGATTAATATAATATAAATGCCTCTAATTCGATAATTTCACAAGTTCAAAAAAAGTATCTACATATTATAACAGAGTAAACGTATATTTTATTTGCAAAAATAAGTAAAATACTAACGATAAGCAACTTTTTAATATAGAAATCACTATGTATATAGCCTAGAATTTTTTAAATTTAAATGATAACATATCAGTAATTTTTGTTCTCACATTCCATATATAGATACAAAATTATGATGACGGAATTTAGCGGAGATTATATTGCGTCACATGATGTCTGCAAAGATGTGAATTATATCAAAAGTACGACGATGCGATATATAATTGGTAGAAATGTGACTTTTTATATTTGTAATGCAGTTCTCGTATCATTAGTCGAGTTAGACTTACAAGTTAGTTTAGATGATTATTTGAATGAAGCTTTAATTGTGGTTAGAATGTGGGTGAGTTTAAGTTAGGGCTGCCCGGTGTTGACGAAGGTGTTGATGGGGTACCTGGTGGTGAGGCCTCCAACGGGCAAACCAAATTGCCAAAATCCATTTCGCTTTTGCTTTTTTTACGTTTCAAAGTGAATTGAGATTTCTTTGGTACCTGCTTAAAAGAAACAGGAAAGGATTATCAAGTTACTTATAAGATAATAATAATATAATAATATAATGTAATGTTACGTCTGCGTCCCCAGGGCTGAGACATTAATTTAATAAAAGACGGTGATAGCGAGTGGCGGCATAGTTAGCTATTGTCTGGATGTTTGTTTATAACAACGAGAATCGAGAGTCGCGCTTGAGTCGGCGAACTCTTAAGACGTGTAGCGAATGAGTCCTTTTTTAAATCGTTTTTATATAAATTATCTTTTTACTTCCCCGGGCGTGCGCGAAGCGCAACATTTTGGGGGCTCGTCTGGGATCAGAATCGTCGGGCAAATCGTGAACGGGTTTATAAAAGTGTGGTGAAATGGTGCACGCGTCGAAGAAGATGCGAGGAAAAATATCGGCAGTTCTTGAGGCATCCTGCTCTCTATCATACCAATGCCAGAGAGCCATGCAAAGAGAGACGCAGAATGCGAGAGACTCTTCAGGCAATGGAGAAGCTACGGATGCTGCGGGAAAAGTGACAGGAGCGAATCCGCGACTGAGACAAGCCAGAAGAATATTGCTTGTGACAATTCTTTCCAATAAAATATAAACCCGACATTTTTGACGGATCGGTACCATTCCACGAATTAAGGACTCAATTTGAATTAATAGTGTGCGCAAATGGAGAGCGTAGACGTAACAGTAAAACAAATTACGACGAACAAAACGCATGACCGCACCTTCAGTCTAGCGGTAAGCGTCAATGGAACAAAGCCGAGTGTGCTCTCTATTTCCCTTTTATGCTGAACCACTTCTCTGCCTAGGATTTGATTGAAATGAGTTGTCAAGTGCCTACGAAGCAAAGTCTTTGCCGGTGGAATACTGAGTAATGTGGCGAGTAATTCGGAAGTGAATCGGCCCTCGTGAATCATTAGACCGCCATGAACACCGGATCCACGCATATTCGGTGCGTATTCCGCAAGATCCACCACTCGCAGCCATTCCATCACACGATGATTCGTCCAGAGAGTCACATTAGTACCATCGGCTCCATTCCCGTTCACAGATCTTCTCTCCAGATTGTCAAACTCGAAATTTAAGTCCCGTAAAACCTGCAATTCATATCCATGAATTAAATATCATATAAAATTACATAAATCGTTACATAATTTACAACGGACGTTTTTCATATAATAACACAAATCTATATCAATATTATTCTGTGTTTGTTCTATATTCAATGAGTAGCAAAAATATTAGGAAGTTGAATTAGTTCTGGTCCCTAACAATAGATGGCTTTAGTAACAAGTTAATGGTTAGTACGAATATTGAAATTTGGCAACACTAAAAGATTTGATATTTCTCTATGATATATGACAGTTTTCGCGCTATTGTTACTGATAGTTTCATTGTTTATACACGTCTAAAATGGATCGTACAAAATTGCATTTTCGATATTCATTATTTTTTTGTTTAATTTGGAAAAATCGATAATTGAAGTTCATGAAATGCTTGTTACAACTTATAGTAATCGAGTCTCCATCATGCTCCAACTGTAAATTTTGGTTTCAACAATTCAAAAGTGGTCATTTCGATTTGAGTGACAAAGAACGTACTGATCAACCAAAAATATTTGAAGATTCTGAATTGCAAGCATTATTGAATGAAAACACTACTCAAACAGAACAAATTGGCTGAACAACTCAACGTTGTAAATCAACAATTTCTAAACGCCTACATGCCATGGGAAAAATTCAAAAGGAAGATAAATGAGTTCCACATGAATTGAGTGAAAGTGACATTGCAAATCGTTTGAATATCGCCATGTCTTTACTTGCCAGATAGAAAAAGTTTTTTGTGGCGAATTGTAATTGGAGATGAAAAGTGGACTTATTTTGATAATTCAAAGCGACAAAAATCATGGGTTAATCCAGAACAATTATCAACATCGACACCTAAACGGAATATTCACGGTCCAAAGCAATGCTCTGTACTTGATAAGATATGGAAGATGTGGTGTACTATGAACTTTTAAAGCCAAATGAAACAGTTACGGGGGAGCAATATCAGCAACAATTGAACAAATTGAACGATGAATTGATGTAAAAAAGGTCAACGATGACCAACAATAGACGCAAAGTGATTCTTTTGCACGGTAATGTTCGCCCACATGTTGCTTCAATCGTTAAACATTGTTAGAGCTCGAATGGGAAATCCTTCCGCACCCAGTGTACTCTCCAGATCTAGTATCATCTGATTACCATCTATTTCGATCAGTGCAACACGCTTTGACACATACACATTTTAATAATTATGAGGACGTGCAAAAATGGGTGTCTGATTGGATTGCTCGGAGAGACAGATCGTTCTATCGTCACAAAATCGTTGTACAATGTAATCTCTATATCAGAGCTGGCCACAATCTGCACATTTCGGGCGAAATTCAGTAGGTGACGCCTACCGTCCCCCTCGCACCGCTCCGCGCTCAGCGGCCGTGGTGACGATCGCGGTATACTCAGGCCCGTCGCTGTATAAGAAATCAGCTGAGGCGTCACATTATCATTAAAATTGTTTCCTCGTTTAATAATTACTTTAAAATATATATTTACGTGTTTAATACTTACGTGTTTAGTACTTACGTGTTTAATACATACATATATATATATATATATATGTATGTATATACATATATATATATACACACATATATATATGCATATATATATATGTATATATGTACATATATATATATATATGCATACATACATACATACATATATAATGCATAAACATATATATATATTTAACGTGATTATTAAACGAGGAAACAATCTTAATGATAATGTGACGCCCCAGCTGATTTCTTATACAGCGACGGGCCTGAGTATACCGCGATCGTCACCACGGCCGCTGAGCGCGGAGCGGTGCGAGGGGGACGGTAGGCGTCACCTACTGAATTTCGCCCGAAATGTGCAGATCGTGGCCAGCTCTACTCTATATCATAAGTACCTGTATAAGTATATAAAGTACCTGAATCCCACGTCTTAAACTGGCAGCATGTAACTGCGCGGTCACTCCGAGATTCAAAAGGTCCTCCGTAGTCAGTCTGTGCAAAACTCTACCGTCAACTTTCGCGTTATGAAAGGCTTCCTTGTGTTGAGGTAATCCGATATCATCCAGCCACCGTAGCACAGCTGCACTGTCCATCTGTCGACATCAAATATCTTTAATCTCAGCTCCTTGTAACATGTAGATGTAAAGCAACATATCAGTAACCTTGTGAGAACCAAGAAACCCCGTCCCGCTGCTTCTTTCCGATTCTATAGCGTAAAGCAATTTCTTTCTATGCAGAGCGTTCTTTATATCCAACTCTTTTTCCAATTGAACCTGCGTAGCGTCCAGTAATTTCAGTCCGGTGGCACCCCATCGTCTCAACTCGGCAGCGTAGCATTCCAAACCGAGGCAAGCTAACCAATCGTTGATCTCTTCAATGGTAAGTTCCGCGAGTGGTTTCGGTGACGGCGGTTCCACTTGCGCACTCGCTTCACCGATCATGGTTTTCTCTTCTTCCGCTATGGTATACAACATTCATTTGTACCTACGCTTGTCTTTTTAATACGATGATAGTTATGTGTGTATATAATATGTACAAATAATTAGATAATAATACGATATTAAATAAAAATAATACGATATCAAATAAAAATAATGTGATTAAGTAGTTTTACAAGCGAATTATTGCCTAGCTAAACATAACGACATGCATGTTACTGTCAATTAATATTGCTGCGGAATGTTAACAACACTTAAACATGACACCGCATGCTTAGATAAAGATCGATCGGAACCTAAAATGGGAGCGGACAGACATCTCGCAGAGACTCCCCTAACAGCCAAGGGTACCGTTGTATGTGCTCCCGAGACTAAATTTGGAACCTTACCAAATACAACACCTTTTTTGAATGTTGGTGGCCTAGGAAGACTGCTATATTGACCGGTATGTCTGCTGAACCTTTCACCCTAAAAACATAATATTATCTTAATTAACCGAATTTAATCGAACTTAATCGAATTTGTAATTGATATTTCTTGTGAAATGAATTATAAGTTATATTTCATATCAATTTGAAATGGAAAAATGTTTTACACGAGGAATTTATCTTCTCGTTGTTTATTTATGTACCAAAGAAAGTTTTTAAAAAAAGAATAATAGACCATAATGCGTTAATATTGAGATTTATAATATTCATTCTTTCATATCTCAATGCTCCTTTTCAGAGTGGACTCTATTTTTGCGGCCAAAGACTTCAGTTTCCCCCAAGAATTTATAACATAGTATAAATATATATACTAACATTTGATAAGGGACTTGCACTGCGTAGCGCTAGATTCTCATGCTCCAAACTAGCTTGCCTAAGTTTCATTTCAGATAAAGAGGTGAGTAGTTCCAACTTTTGCGTTTCTAAGGCGCTCCTCGACAGAATCTCCTTTAAAATGAGCAAATATAAAGCCTATTTGTATACAAATTTATAATATTCTGGTAAATATCAATAATATAAAATCATCTTGGTATCTCACTTTTTGCAACACTTCTTCCATCTGCCTCAGAGAGTCTTTCTTGTCTTGCAACATGCTCTCCAATTCTTGAATTTTACTTGACTGAGCGTCAACCTGTTCCGACAAGACTGACACCTCCATGTGCAATGCTCCGCGCTCACTCTCCAACTTTCTCAGTCGTTCCTGAAAAACAATTTAGCAAGTCGATCATTAACATACGATTAATAAGAATTAAAAGCTCGCTGCTTCAAAGAAACTATGTAACATGGAAATCTCGTAGTTCAACGAGCAGGGTCGGGAAATAATTCATAGTTCATATAACGCATACGATTTTATTTGAGAACTCTCTTATACAGTATACCTCGATTTTACTATGACAATTATTCATGCACATATTGCTTCCGCAGTGGAACTGTTGCAACGAACAGTAGTGATGCGGTTTGTCCTTTTCGTGGCAGATCAAATCATTATGAGACATAGTCCTCTGATCGCGATCCACTCTGCTGCGCAGTCTGCGACGTCTTCTATCTAGAGAACCGCCACATCTACCCATCGAGGTTACAGGCAAAGACGTTGTACTGTTTGTCCTATTACCCGCATGTATCTGACGCTCCTTCATAAACATCAGATTCTGCTGCGCATGACAAACATGCGGATAGTAACCGAGGCCTTTTGCGTGTTCCTTCACAGTTTGATGCGTGAGCTCGCTAGAAACGTCGTAATAATTCGTAAGAAAAGAAATTGATGAGAGTTTATGTAATCGATTGAAAGTACACGGTGAAATGTAAAAGATTACGACGAAATAAACAGTGACCTTGTACACGGCATGACGCAGAGGGATGGGAAACTTCTCAGATGAACGGATGTCGGACAGGTATTAGACATATCGGTGGACGCACAAATATTAGGCATACTCCCTTGAAGTGCTATCATCTTAGCATAGCCAAGCAAGCAAGCCTACAACAATATTATCAATATCTTACAGAGAAAGATATTTCACTTAATAGTTAAAAAATGAGTCAATAAGAATCAGAAATAGATTAAATCATTGCCTTTGAAACTACGTATCTTAAATTATTTGGATAATATTGAACTTTTTGTTTCATTGCATTATGATTACAATATTACAATTAGTTATATATTATTAAATTACATAATATATAATTATATAGTTTTATAATGGTTGTATGTGTATGTGTGTATGTGTGCGTGTGAGTGTGTATATGTATGTGTAGTTCCATTGTGCACTAATAACAGTTAATCCATATAATTTCTTATTGGTCTCTTTTTCATTTTTTATTTCATATCAACAAAGTCTTAAATTATTTATCTTTATCTCATTTGCATTTCATGTATAATTATTTCGCGAATCGAATGAAAAATATATATGCGAAAGTACAACTCGCTCTGCGAATTTCGCATGTATAATGAAACATATGCTTGTTAAGTGAACGTCAGTTGGTATGTTGGTGTGACCTCTCTCGATGCTGGATCTCTCTATTTTAGATCTACCTGACACAGACATTCCTGCGACTGGTAAGCTGTCCGGCATGTAATCAGCGGTTCCGACAAGCCCACGCCGATACCTCGCGGATAATCCTCGATGTATTCGTCACCTTCTTCAGAATTCGACGACGTTCCCGACGAATCGTAACCCTCCGAAGGCGTCCATCGACTGTTCCAGCGCTTAATAGTCGAGGCTGCGTCCGACGAATCCGACTGTGAACCTAGATTTAGATTTACGGTCAATCTTTTTTTATTCTGCGCCGAGAAGTTCAAGAAGTTTTTATCAGCGCGATGGCTGTCGAAGTTTTCCAGACGCACTTGTCTATCTTTTTTGGTGTCAAGTCGTGTTCAATTCGATACAACATATATCTACATATCAGAGTTGAGAAATAAGGTATTATTTGTAACGCTTTTACCATAACTTTCATTTACTAAGTAATGTTCTTCCAGTAATGATTAATAACAGTTATTTTAAATGAATGATTTAAATCAAATTTTATCCCCATTTAAGTGAATATTTTAACTAAAATGAATTTATTCATCTGACAATGAAGTACATCAGACAGAGATTTATTCTTCAACTTAAAATAAAAATAATCACTCCATGATTCAGAATAGAAAATTCATTTGATATAATTAGTAAATCATTTGAATTTTAGTAACTTGGTTATTACTTTACTTCTTAAATAAAATTTTTCCTCAAGAAATCTAGAATGAAATTAGAAGTTTAGAGAAAGAAAGAGAGATTAGAAATTTAGAGTAGTATCAATAAGCATAAGATACATAGTAACAAATTATAACAAAAAGTCTCCAAAATTAAATAAAGAAATAAACGGAAACTTTTTATAGTAACTTACTTTTTATAGTAAATCGTTATTCTTTAAATAAATATAACAGTAACATGTTCTCTTTTTCAAAATAAAGAACGATAATGCTAACGAGTTATCTTTTTCAAAAGATAACGAATAATAATGATGTCACTTTTAAAAATTAACTTTTCCAATCCCGTGTATATTTTAACAGGAATGGAAACAACAATTCGACGACACATCGAGCGAAGTCGAGTCAATGAACGTAGATCTTCGACAGTCAAGCGGTCCATAGTTAAAGCAATCTATTTTGAGCGGGCCACTTATTTCTCCATCAGAGATATAACTGCAGTGTACTGACCAGTCGTGCGATTTTAATATCGAATTACGGCAGATCTCTCGATCGCAAGAATCTATCAGACATCTGCCAAGTTATGCGTTAAACTAAAGTATCTGTCTGAATGTCATGACTTTTGTGTGACTCCGGGCAAATCTTAACCCTTTGCGGCATAGTGTTGCATATATGCAATACCTTTTAAAACTTTGAAGATTCATTTTTCTATTCAAAAGTTTTTCATAAAAATTTGTATTCAAGGATTTTTAGGGTCGCTGATTGCGATATGAATCTGCTGACGGAATTTCGAAATTCATAATAACGGACCAAAATTTAAAAAATTTTCAATTTCCGTGAAAATTGGTATATAGAAGTTTTTGGGGCTGCTGATAATGAATCCGCTGTCGGAATTTCGAAATTCAAGTTGGCAGATCCAATATGGCGGGCCAAAAATTTAAAAAATTTTTGATTTTCATGAAAATTTGTATATAAAAATTTTCAGGATCGCTGTCATGAATCCTCTGTCAGAATTGGAGCAGTTTTGCCAACCTATGAAATCCGATAAATAACAGTATCCAATGCTGAAAATTTCAAATAAAATCTAAAAAAATGTCTATTTTTATTTATGAAAATTTTTATTTTCGTCTTATTTTTTATTTTGTTTCTGGTTCTTCGTTTGTTGTTATTTTTTAATTTCTGTTATTTTTTGTCCTTCTGCTATTTGTTTTATTTTTTGTCGTTCTTTTCGCTTTTTTTCTTTTCTTATTTTAATGCTTTCATAATTTTTTGTTTTCTCTTATTTCAATTTTTTAGACTTTTTATTTTTGTTTTGAGCGGCCACAAAGCTTCTTCCTTTTGTACACAGACGACAGCGAATCCGTAATCAGCGACCTCAAAAACCCCCATATACGAATTTTCATGGAAATCGAAAATCTTTTAAAATTTGGTCCGCCATATTGGATCCACCATTTTGAATATCGACATTTCGACAGCGAATCCATAATCAGCGACCCCAAAAACCCCTATGTACCAATTTTCATGGAAATAAAAAATCTTTTAAAATTTAGTCCGCCGTCTTGGATTCGCCATCTTGAATTTCGAAATTCCGACAGCGAATTCATAATCAGCAACACCAAAAACTATTATATGCAAATTTTCATGAAAAACTATTGAACAGAGAAAGGTATGCTTCAAATGGTTAAATTGTAAAGCTCTACAATTCTTAGTGCATTGGGTGAGTACAAGTTTTGACGAATTTCTCAAAAATATCGTAACTGATTCAGTTTTATAGTAATACTTATAAACATGCGAATATATAATATGCCGTTAGAAGACCATACTTTTAATGGTTACTTGGTAGAGAATGAGAATAAATCGTTTTTAATAAAATTCTTAGTCTGTGTAATATTTTTCTATCACAAAATGCATCAAAATTTTGCACTTATCCAAAAATTACTTTTTTGCCAATATTAGCTAAATTTCGGTTTTCCATAACCGAATACTAATTATACTAACTTAATTGCGCGATTAATTTATCCGAAGCGATTTTATAATTGGTACAATATGTCTGATTAATTTGAAGTTAATATGTCTGATCCTTTAATATTATTCTTTTGATTTCATATGCCGGGGCAATGAAATGATCAGAAGAAGAGAGATAGTAAAAAGAGATTGAAGAGAAACCTTTTGCTTGACCTTTATCCTCTTCCTCTATTATAGGGGCAAGATCCTTTCGCTCTCCAACGGTACTGTCACTCCAAATGTTTTCCATGATGAATTCGTTTGCGTCGCGCTTTACTTCACTAATTTACTGTCTTTGATTTCTTCGTTGAGTTCAGTAAGGTACACATCTCTAGTTTGGATCTGTTCCGGTAACAAATTTATTTAATGAGTCGTGCGTAGAATCCTCGAGATATTCGTGTCAGCAAAATTACTACTTCTGTCACTTACTTTTCACGACGATATCACAGCTACAATGGGCACTCGATGTAATAGTGTCGACTGACACGGTGTATAACGCGAAGTACACTTAACGTTTTAATATCAGAGCATTCGTACACAATCGAGTGTTATCTTGACTAGATGTATTCTTGCGCAGCTAGCCGCGACATCGTCTCCGCCAAAACTAAAATTAACGTCATGAAATCCTTCGAGAAGAGCGCGAGGGAGGTAAAGAGGGGGGGAGAGAGAGAGAGAGAGAGAGAGAGAGAGAGAGAGAGAGAGAGAGAGAGAGAGAGAACGCGCGCAATGGCAATTTATAAATAGATTAATGTTTCTCTCTTTTTGTTGTTAGGTCGTATTAGATCTCCCTTTCTCTCAACTGGCTGTTTGGGTTTGATACGATATATATTATGATAAATATGAAGTAAATAATATATCTTACCGTTATATTAATTTATTATTCATAACTAATTTCTTGTAGTTATATATAGTTATTAGTCATGCAAAATTATTACCAATTTTAAGTTATACTTACCTTCTGCAGAACAATAATTCTGATCATAAAGTCCAAAAGGTCATTTCGCGTCAGAAAAGATACATAGTATAGTATATAGCATCTTTCGCAGATATACTTGGCACTAACGTGACACCGCGCTACCGCGTCTGTCTCTCGATAATGCATTACTGTCAAAGCACATTTGAGAGTGCAGTATCACTAAATATTTGTCATATTAACAGTCGTTACTTAAAACTTGTCTGCATGAAATATCCAGATTTGAATTTAGAATTAAATGTGTTTTTCAGTTAAATTATGATTACAAATACAATATTACATATATTATATGATTCATCTGAGAAAACAAAAACCTAATTCTTAAATAAAATCTAAGTACATTGCATGAAAGTACTTCCCAATGGCAACTATTAATATGGACAACAATATTATTACGACATATATTATATTGTATGATTTAAATAAAAAGAACTTAAATTTAACTCTAACTTCAGATCTGAATATCTCACGTGAAACAAATTTTAAGTAAAGATTAAAATTAAAACAATGGTTGATCACCGAATAATTGGTCCAAAACCAAAACCAAAAAACGGAATATTCACAGCCGATCTTGTCCACTCGATCGATTAACATTACTTCCGTTGCGTGCAAAACAATAATTATAGATAAATACATAGATAGAAAAAGAGGAAGAGAGGGGAGGAGAGATTGAATGTAGGATACACAGGATAATTGGTAACTCATGTAACCGTAATAAATAGAGGCGTAGAACTGATTGAAAGAGACATAAAAGTTTCATACAGTTTTGCGATATTTGCAATAATTATTGAGTTATTAATTATAGAAATCTGACGAGTAAGTGCGCGACGAGATAGATGATTGGAGAAGCATTGCAGCCACTCGTGCAAAAGCCTAGTTGATCTAGCAACTGTTGCCGGCGCGCAGTGAGACGTAGGACAACGGCAAAATGAAATTAGTACATAGCCGAATAGCATTGTCCTTCCCCTTGCCGCGCGATGGCAACAGTTATTCGACTGACTGGGTCGCACTCTTGTCCGAGTAGTTGCAATGTCTCTCGTCCTCAATCAGATTTCTATAATTAATAACTCAATAATTATTGCAAATACCGCAAAACTGTATGAGACTTTTATGTTTGTTTTAATCAGTTTTACGCCTCCATTGATTACGGCTATATAAGTTACCAAACACCATGTATACAACGAACATACGTATCTCAACGGCGACATCTGTTACTGATTGCAAAACTTGCGTTTACGTTGCATTCATAAAGTGGAAGTCACAAACGAAAGATCGATGCCGACAAGAACGACATTTTTTCTACTTCTTTATTCTCTTCTTATCTTTCTTTACTTGGACTCCACTTACCGGTTGCATCCATTGCAAAAGGATGTCTTCAGTAGCTGCATCTGGCGGAGAGGGCGGCGTCGGTGCGGTTTTTATCATAGCTATGAGGTTCCTCGTAGCCTCCTTCACAGAGTTTTTCCATTCCGAATTGCCTTCGGCCGAACTTTCGGCACAAGCTCCTATAAATATCATACTTGTGAGAAATTGCAATATCTACGGCAACAGAAAGCAATCATAATCATAGATGTCAATTAAAGTTCAATGCAAGAGGGTCGCTGTGCTGTTTCAATTTAAAGCATAATATAATCGTATTTTTAGTATACCGATTAGTCCCGCGACCTTACTCAAATTTTGGTTATATAATGTATTCATGAATTATATAGCTTTTAATTGTGTAATAATAAAATAATTACAAATAAACGTTATTAACAGCATTCTTGCATTACTTATATTAAATCTATCCGTAAGTAACTAAATATTTCAAAACATAACCCGTTTAAAAGTTTATAAAGTTTTCATATTTTTAGTCAATAATATAAATTGAATATCTTATACAAATAACATACCAAAAAGATATGTTTTATATTTATGTATTATATAACTTCGGGGATAGAAATCATATGAAAACAATTTTGTAAATATTTGATTATTTATAGATAAAAGTAGCTTCAGTAATGTACTTATACAAAGTCCAAACATGATTCTTCTTAGAGCTATCTATCTAATTTATATAAAGTGTCCGGGATCTTTTGGAAACGAAAAATTATGTAGATTAATTATGTAGATTAATCAGATCAAACTGAGGAGAAAAGCCAAATTTGCAAAAATCATAATAGTTATTATGTTATTAATAATTGAAAATGACCACATTTAGAAGTTCTTTTAATTGATAACTTGAAAATTTGCATACCTATTTGCAAGATGGTAAAGGATGTTTTTGTTCAAAATAACCTAATCTATAATTATATGATAACTATTGTGTCTAGCGAGGTACAAGATTCAGGATTCAAAGTTCAATATACTTATATCTAGATACAATAGCCATCATATAATTGTAGATTAGGTTCTGAACAAAAACATCCTGTACTATTTTGCAAATAAGTATGCAAAATTTCAAATTATCAATTAAAAGAACCTCTAGATGTGGTCATTTTCAATCATTAATAACTATTGCCATTTTTGCAAAATGGGACATGATTTTTTTTCTCAGTTTCATCTGATTATTCTTCAGAATTTTTCATTTCCAAAAGATCCCAGACAACTGTATATATACAAATGATGACAAATATATTTGAAAATCTATTTTGTAGTTTTGATCTTGTTAATAGAAATTCATATGTCTGTAATTGCTATATGGTAGCCTCAACACCTATATATATGTATGAGTGTGTGTGTGTGTGTGAATTTGAATCTTACCAGAAATAATATCATCCATCTGTAACAATGCAGCCTCCAGCATCTTGCTGGCTTCACTGGAACTTTTCGCAAAAAACGGCGACTCACCTGCTTGCGCCGTCGTGCTGTTTCTCTCCTCACCTTTGCCCATCACTTAACGCTGTAATAAAGGAAATCTTTGTTTGTTATGCTCCTTGAATATTTTCTAGCAACATGAGTGTTTAAAATATATATTGAACATGCAATAGAACAAGTAAGATATTTTTTAAACATTTATACCATCTATAACACAATAAATTGTAAACATTTATACTATATTTATACTGTCTATCCACACATGTCTGCTATGATAAATTGTAATTGTATATAATTTTTTTTTTAGATCAATTAGTAATTACAAAATGTTTACATTACATGAATGAAAACATAAAAGAAACGAGCTTGGTCGATAACAGACGATGAGACAAGAAACAGTTTACATATGCGAGAGATATTCCGTCCACGCGACATTTTCTTTATCGGTGATAAGAGACATGAATTCGCACACAGCGAGATGCGATTGATTGAGGGAAAAAAACATTTGACGAGCGTTCAAGAGGAGAGAGGAGATCAAACATCACCACGAGACGATCACTCGTACTGATGATGTCACGATCTTACCGTGTTGTCCCATGATAACATCGACGATCGGCCGTCATCGTGACCAGATCATCGTTAATAAAACAGCAACAATTGCGCACCGAGATAATGTGCGACAGGCGATCAACAGGTAATGGAGCAACGCCCAGCACTCGCCATCATAACGTGTTACTGTTGTCTCTGTCACTCTGGTTCCCCCTTTTCATTTTATCTCTTTCCTTCACTGTCTGATTAGTACCGTCAATTCTTCGCAAGAGCAAAATTTACGCCGAGTGTGCAAGGAAAACAGCAATTTTCTCCGATATATTCATTAACGTGTTATATCGTTACCCATGCAATTATCTCTCGAATAAGCGCAAAAAAACATAAGTACCTTGTCATAATTTTACTTTAGATTTCATATTAATTATTTATTCATAATTTATTTATAATTCTTCCTTATGTACAATACTGAGATATATGTAAATACATATACATATATAAGATACATATATAAGTATAATTAGTCCTTTCTTTTTCGAGGAATTTCTTCAATTAGTGTATATCAATGTGATAAGTTAGGATGAAACAAAATACACTTGTTTCGCTTTAATTTATTGTATCACTGTGCTCAGTTTAAGAAGTTTTTCAAAAAAGAACAAATCTAATATACCTTATAAACGAAGATTTGTTAGGTTAAACTAACATCAGACATCAACGAAAAAAACGCGATATCTTACAAGTGCAAGTTGCTTCGACGTCTCGCAGGTTAGCTTCGACTTGGTCTCGATATTTCCAAAAATCGAGCGAATAATATAACTTTGAATTGAGAAAAAGCTCGGAAGAAGAGATACTTGATCGTGTGGAGATGCATGGGAGAATATGAATCGGCATCGAGAGTACGCAGTATCTCAAGATCGTTGATTACCTTCGGACACGTCAGTTGAGATTCGCGGTCTTGTCCTGAGTAGCCGTAGCGCGTTCGGTAAACATTAGTCGGTTCACTGAGAAGGCCGAGATTCGTACGGAAGCTACGCACCTTATGCCGGCCACGATGACAGCCACGATATGATCGTCTCTACGCGTCTCACGCGGACCAAAACTGAGGAAGACAGAGAGAGAGTCAACAAACGCAGCTGTGCATACACCACGTCGCAGAAGAACGCAGCGAAGTGCGCCGCGAGTGCACTGTAGAGGTGTAACCAGCAGACTGAAGGATCGCCGCGAAAATTCAAATAGCGACGCGGAACTTGCGCAGAATCGAACACGATTATTCGATGAACATCGCGTCAAATTGATGCCGAGAGATCTTGCCGCGTTATGCATTCGTTATCCTGCGTAGCCATTATCATTTATATCAAGGTATGGTGCAACGTAGGATCACGTAGGATTACGCTACAGGATCAGGATTCGCGTGAAATAAGATTGAAACGAGAGTCCAAAACCAGTCGCATCAGCAGAATATCACAACAGAAGAGTGCTAAGTTAAGAAGCATGTTTAAGAAAAAATAGAATGAAACATTCTTTTTATTTAGTCATAAAATTTAGAACATGTTTCGAACAAGTAGGATGTACAAAGATATATTTAATAAAAATGAAAATGTTTTAAACACGAACATTATAGAAGGAAACATGTTTGATAGACACCGATTAGAAAGTAGATGGAAGTAAAGAGACAAATATTTCGTCAGTACAACAAGTTAGTCATATTAATAATTTTACATACATTTAAAATTCATGTTAAATGATTCTTTAAAAAAGTACATTCTAATCATTTATTCAAAAGAATGTTATATTGAAATGTGTCCAATACTTGAAACACATATTTAAAACCTTCATTTAAATCGAGTGTTTAAAACATTATTTTCACGCGCTCATACAATCGTTTGTAAGACGGTTCAAGCACTTTCTTCAATGCACTTCAGGATGCAGCCGACGTTCTATAGAGAATTTGCTTTCAAACAATCCTCAGAAGATAATCTCTTCTATTGGACGTCCAGTGTATTTCGAAATGCGTCGCGAGAAAAAAGTATTCTGTAAACTATTCCGCAAACAAGTATTACGCCACATCACGAATGATAGCGCATTACATTTGACAAAAGTCGGAGTTGATTACGCCGCTGCGATACCAACTTCAGATTGTCCGGCACAAGGTTATGTTCGCCGTGTGTGCTCTATCGAACAAGCGAGAGACTCGAATCGTAAAAGTCGCGGTGTTCGCACGGATGCCACTGCGCGACATCGTGAAGTTCGCCGAGATTCACCGTCGACGGTGCGTTCCGCTTCGTGTCGACGCCTTACAAGCACACTCGCGGTGCTGCAGTAGACGATCACGTCGTCATCATTGTGCTCATCTTCATCGTCGCCTCGTCGTTCACGGCGGCAGGTTGGCAGCAGTGCGCGCCGCTATCAGGCGAGCGAGAATACGGATATCTCGCATTTCCGTTACATTTTATTTGCGTGTGGCCGTGTGGGGCGAACAAGACACGGCGGGGAGAAAATAAAAGTATGTATACGGTCGC